GGGGGGGGGGACCGTGGTACCTGCAGAGGAACTTGGTGCTGCCCGGCATGACCTCCAGCGTGAAGCACTGGCCCCCGTTGACGCAGTAGTTCCTCTGGCTGGCGCTGCAGCGCGTGATGTGGCTGGACGTCCTGGTGGTGGTGGACGTGCTGGTAGTAGCTGCAGGGAGAGCCACAAACGTTTAAAAAAACCTTCAAATATACGTCTAGTTCATATTCGATTCATTTGCATTTTAACCCTATAATGACACATGTATCATGTTTGATACGGTTTCTGAAGTGTTTTGCATATGAGACCTTTTGCATCATTTGAGAGGAAAAACTTTGTTCAAAATCCCGTTGGACATAATCAGATATACCTGATAGGAGCAGGCAGAAGATTATAGACAATTATTTAGACAAATTATGAATATTCAAAAATCACTTCTTTTTTTTCCGATTTTGTTATTTTAACAGCATCCAGGATGATCCTCCGTAGTCCTCACTTTTACTCAGGTTTGCCCAACTCTAGTCCTTTTAAAAATTGAAATCTGACCCAACACTCAGAAGGCCCAGCAAAATCAGCCATTTCTAGTAATAATTGGCCATAAAAATGTGGCTTTTCAATCCCATTAATATTTGATTCAAAGAGTAATTGCTACTACATTCTCCCTAATCTGATCAGAGGCTGAGCAGGTGTGTGTGTGTGTGGGGGGGGTACCAATAACACACAGCTGGGCTCCTGGGGAGAGACTGAACTGGGATCCTCTGGAGGCCATGCTCACACACCCTGGGGGATTTGGTGAGGCTATCAGGGTGGACTCTCAGTTGGCTTTGAGACAAAATGTTTGGCAACTTAAACCAGTCATCTTTTGTCTTAGGGATGAAAAAATCAAACCTATGTCTTCTAATGCCGGTGGATGTTGATCAGGCCTGTTGAACAGTAATTCTGATGTGATTTGGAGTGCTGGTTCCGGATGTTTCCCGGTGTAGCTGTGATGCTAAAGGCTGCTGCACGCTGATGCAGTGGTTAGTCACCTCACTGCTCGCCGCATGTGTGCATGAATTATTTACAGCTACTCCGGCTTCCGCTCACAGCACACAGGAGAAGCACGAGTGTGTGTCTGTCCCCGGATAAGAGCGAGTCTGTCCCGGACCGCACAACCTCACGCCACCCCTTCAGCCACAGCTGAAACATTTCATGAAAAATGCATCACAACCCTCATAGTAGTTTGAGGAGCCTGACTAAAGACTCATCATAAAAGCCTCAGTGGCTCCACCAGTGCGGGTTTGCTGCGAAACACAAAGGACGATAAATCCCAGAGTTATGGGCACCTAGAGGAGCATAATTACTCTGACCCACGGGCAGACAGACAGACTGTAGCGGTCAGTTGTTTTCCTGGCGGCACAGGAAAAGAAAGGAAAGGGAGGGGGGGGGGGCTTCAATTAGCCGTCAGTGTGCTCTGACCTTGAAATGGAGTACAGGCAGGAAACAGGAAGTCTCCCTGTATCATAGCCCCCATTTTCAGTTTGTGTCATGCATCATTGATTGATTTTCACTTATTCATAAGACTGGAAATATTCATCTTCAGATTTCAGGGTTACTGCAGGAGGCACTGGGACTACTACTACTGAAAAATGGAGTTTGAATTAGGATTCAACTCAGTCTTGCTTGGACAAGCAGAGGAGGTCACAAACTGAAATAGCAACTTATAATACACACATGTATATCCAGTCATACATAAACATAGAGATTCCCCTCAACTGAACTAGTGGCTGGACCTGTATATACCATTATTTTAGCTAGTGGCCCTGTCATGTTACACTGCAACTTAACAGAAAAACAAATAGAAGAAAAATAGTTTTATTTGGAGTTTGGCTAGAAATGTCCCTACATTTGATCTAACTTAAACTGTTTTCTTCTCAATACCATCACTGATAAAAATGATAAGTGGGTGCATAACAGCACCACTATTTCTGGATATTGGTTGTAACATCAGTACTGGAGTATACTTTGATGCGAAAGAAATTAAACAATAAGATGAGTGTAATATTAGTCAGTGTCAGAGAGAATTAGCCACCCAACAGAGAGATTGGAGATGAGAAAGGAAAGCTCTGATGCGATTTAAATTCCTGACTATTAGATTGACCCTTTATCAGGAACATACACATGTTTAATCATGCCAGTAGAAACATGGCATGGCTCCCGGGATGCACATGGTCAGCACAGATCAGGCATGCTAGCCTCCACCAATCAGCAGCCATCTGCAGGATTACTCCCACTTTCATCACATCACAGCTAATATAACCAATTCATTTAATCCACACATGATATAGTTCAATGATTATGTTAAACAAATAACTTGGGAATTAGTGCCATTAAAAAATCATGACAGTTTTTAGTACCAAAGCCTACATACACACTATGACTATGACCCACTGACTAAAGACTAGTTAAGATAACTTCTTTTTAGCTATTTTAGCAAAACTGGTAAACTTCCAGATCTGCTTGACTTTGCGATTTAGAGGAAGCTGCAACTATCCACCCACTATAACGTCAAATAACACACTCACAGATATAGAAAAAGTACCAGACTTCAGATAAGATACACTCATTTTTGGATTAATTACTTTCTGTTTTTTCTTAGCTTGTATCCTGACTAAGGTTGTTCTGAATATCTTCCTGTTAGAGGCCAATTTATTTATGTTTCACAAGATATTACCCTCTAAGAAAATGAAACCATCTCTGGATACTTACAGAGAGTTTGGATGATATTATTGAACTCCTGTGTAGTTTGTGGGCGGGGACTCTGGTTTGCGATCACAAGCTGTTCATCATTCAGCACAGACTTCTCCTCCAGGAAAACCTCCGGAAGTCCCGGGGTGATAGCAGCGGTGGTTGTCAGGGAGACGGTGGAGGGCGCTGACCGGGGGATGGACACGGTGATTCCGAGCGTAGGGTCAACTGATATCAAAATGGGGTCCTGTCCGATGGGTTTAGCGTCTAAGTGAGTGGGCGCTTCATACTCAAAGATCTTATCCACAAAGACCCACTTGAGTCCGGCCGTGCAGAGGGCCAGGCTGAGCAGGCAGGCCAGGATGGGCAGGATGCAGATTTTCTCCGAGTGCAGGCAGTGGTTAATCCGCTCCACCTCTATGCACACGCAGCAGGTCCCCTGCAAGGCCACGACTCCCAGAGCCCCCACATGCTCCTCGCCCCCCCCACCGCCCCCCTCCTCCTCCTCCTCCTCCGGGCTCTGGCCAGCTGCCTCCGGCTCCTCTGGTTTCTCCTCTGGGACCGCTCCGGCGCTAAGGGCACAGCAAGTGGGGGAGGCTGTTCCAGGAGAGGGAGCTGGCCCTGCAGAGAAGTCCTCCATTCCCTCGGTCATCCTCCCAAACGGCTGGACCACGCGCCTCCGGACGGCTCAGCGATCAAATGAGGGCATCGCTCCGCGTCTGTGAGCCTCCGGAGTCCAGCCGCACGGCGGCCATCACCGCTCACTGTCCAGCAGGGCCTCGCACACTCAAAGTTTTACAGCAGAGGGGTGTGGATTAAAGAGAGTTCTTCACACATGCTTTTTCCCCAGAAACACCACCGGGAGGGGGGGGGGGGGGGGGGGCTGAGCAGCAGCCAGATTATCTGCAGAAAGGGAGTAACATTGTGGATGGAAAGCAGATCTCAGAGCACTGCATCAGTGAAGGTCGACCCACCTGAGCAGAGGCAGGAGGAGCCGGGCAGAGTGGACGGAGGGCTGGGCTGCAGCAGCTGGATCCTCAAGGGCAGGAGGGGCCGGACGGTCAGGCCGGGCACTGCGGAGGCAGGGGGGACACGGCTCCGGCCCGCACAGAAAAGGCTGAATCATCAGGGAGCGGCAGGTGTCCTTCCTATCAGCGCAGCCCACAAACAGATGAGTAAGGGGAAAGAGGTGGAAACAGAAGCCCGGAGAGGGGGGGGGGGGGGGGGGGGGGGGGGGGGCTGCAGCAGCAGAGGGTCAGAGACGGCTGGATACTCCCCTTTCTTCCTCTCTCTCTCCTCCTCTTTCAGTAATTCCTCTTCCAGTGGAGAGCGTGCAGCCTGGGCCTCCTCCCACTGCCTCTCCTCCTCTCCTCACCAGCACAAAGCATCCAGCTAAGCAAGTTCCTGCTTGATCCAATTAGAGCGCAAGTCAGCGAATCACAGACGAGCAAACTGCTGTAATCATCCCTCCCATCCCTCCCAGCAGCACTCCCTATTGATTAGCCCCAGTGTGTGTCTTATTCAGGCAGGAGGCAGACGCATATATACACACACACATACACACATACACACACGCACGCACGCACACGCACACACACACACACACACGCACGCAAGTACACACACACGCACGCACACACACACACACACACACACACATACAGATAGATAGATAGATAGATAGATATCCAATTTAATCCAATCAAATTAGGACAGTAAAACGGAGGAAAACTAAAGGAACCCATGACTCTGCAGTAAAAGCTGGCTCCGGCTGCAGGCGTCTGTCCTGAGGATGCATTAGGCGACAGAGGGGGGGGGAAACTCCCTTTAAAGAACCCTCCTGCAGAAACCCTCTCAGGAGGGGCTCACACGTGTGTCCGGATGAGCTGGAGCTTAAGGAGGAAAGTGGAAACAACAAGTGTGCCGACACCAGGCCGGGATTCCTGCAGAAATTCTGCCTAAACGGCCTCTTTTTCCTCATCAGAGGAGGGTGCAGCGGGGGGGGGGCTGTGGTTTGAAGAATGGGAAAATTGACCGTTTAACAGCCCCCAGCCACACGGGCAAATAGGATCATGTGGACAGTCCAAGGTGTTTGTGGGGGGGGGGGGGGATTTAAACAGGATGTCAGGGGTCAGCTCAGCACCAGACGGACTCTCCTGACCTTTTCCACTCTTCAGACAGAACTAATATCAGTAATGGCATCTGTGGGGGGTGAGGGGGGGGGGGGGCTCTTCCTGCCAGGCGTCTGTATTAGTGACCTGTGTACTAATTAACTTATGAGCATTCTACACAAAAAACACATGAAAAATAGAGCGAAAAATGGGAAATAAATCAACTTATGAAGGCCATTTTTCAAGAATAGAAATAAAACAGTCCACCTACCCAAGTCCAGAAAGATTTATTAAATGTATTTTTTCATTTATCTGGAGAGTAAAAGTAAAAAAGATTCATTCAACAAATAGATCGTTCCAGAATAATCTTAACCAAGTTATTTTACAGGTTTTAATTCAACTCAGATATTAGGTAAAGAGGTCAAGTCAACATAACCGTCAATGTGGACATAAATTAAATTAATTCACTTGAATCATTCAACATGAACATAAAGAGATCATTAATCATTTAACAGTCAATTGGCAATGAACACGTCGGTGGTGGTTATAGACAGAAAACTCCTGGTCTGGATCCATGCTGGGCCTCTTGTGTGGTCACCTGCACATGCAGAGCTTCTGTTTGGTACTCTGGAAATGAGGAAAAGGTCTAACATTGGCCAGGTTTCAGACATCCTCCTGGTTCTGCTCACCTGGTTCGGATTAAACTGGATCTCCTGTGGACACTGCTGAGCTTCGCTAATGGCTCTTTGATGTGTTGAAACGGGGACATCTCTAAAACCTGCAGGCCAGCGGCCCAAAGAGGACTGGAGTCTGACACCTAGGAATAGTCTGAGTTGAGAGGAAACCTGAAAGTAAACCAGGCTGTTTCTCAGGAGATGTGAACACCATTTGGTGGATGGGAAGCAAACAGGTACAGGTGGGTCTTCAGTTAATCTGATTTAGGCTCCAAATGATGGAAGTACAAATAAATTTAAGCTCTGAGGAAGAACAGCTTTTGGCCGGACCCACTTCCTTTCTACATGAAAGTGGTACTGGGTTAGATTCAGCCAGTCTGTGGGGATGGGAGGCCTCAGGGAGTTTTTTTAGTCTCTATTTGAAGCCGCCTGCGTGAAGCATGAAGTCGTCCAAACCTCCACTTACCAAGAGTTGCATAAGTTTGCCTCTAATGTCCTGAAATACAAGAAACCTCCATCTCCCCACATAGCTGATCCAGAAGTCTGCCTTCAGGGACTTCTGGAAGCTAGCTTGCTGCTATCCTAGTGAAGATATTGGCAGACAACATCCTCATTGTGTATTAAACACACAACTAAATGACTGATCAATGAACTGATGATTAAAACAAAGTCTAGAGTGCATTGATTACTGTCCATCAGGACTAAACCCGGCAGAGCCCGGCCTCTGGCCCTTCAGGGGTGTCTGAAGGAGAATGCTGCGTCATGCCCTGTGGACTGCATTAGATTGGGGTCAGTTTCATCCGACGGCAGGAAAACGGCCCAGAGCCCCCCCCCCAAAGTGCGTCAGCAGTATTTAAAATAAGCAGGCAGACAGAATTTGGCCGGTAATGAAATGGCCGGCTCCGTCTGAAGGGCACGGAGCCGCTGGGGGAGCAGCCTGATCAAATTGTTCTGAGGAAGAATCCATCAGGACAATCAATCCAGGGGAGAAGCCCCAGGAAGCAGGGGGTGAAATTTCATCAGATTACAGACAGTTCACGGTTACAGCCGGAGCTCTGGTAGGTATTTTTATTGCTGATGAAAGCAACGTTTGAAAAACGCATTCATAATTCTAACTGGTTTCTGTGTTCGGTTCATATGGTTTATTTCATCTTCATAGAAATTGTGAGAATGCTGATTCCCTATTTTCAATTGATGAAAATAACCTTTCCATAGAATACCAAACCTTGTAGTAGAGCAGGGGTCTTCAAGGTTTTCCAGGCCAAGGTCCCCCAAACTGATGGAGTGGGACCCCCTAATTCTATATATTGTGTGAAATAGTGTCGTATCAAACTGGTCCTATAGTGTGTAAATGTCCCTTGTTATTGGGCATTCAGTACTAAGATCCTCAGATAATCCACAGGTTGATATCTTCCTGTTTCTACTGTAAACATCTGGTTCTGGTTCCTGGTTGGTGGAACAGGTGTTGTGAATGAAAAAGGGCCCAGCTTGAAAGAGCTCCTGTGTGATAGATAGATAGATAGATAGATAGATAGATAGATAGATAGATAGATAGATCTCCTGTGTGTGGCTGAATGTGAGCGTTGATGACTGGAAGACATCTGCCTCCATTTATCTGTTTACTACAGTCTGTTGGACTCATCTACATGTGGATTCAAAGACATTTACATTAGTGGAAAAAGTATGAATAAAAAGTCTAATCAACCAAAACGTTCACGACCCCCATGCAGTACCTCCAGGACCCCCTAGGGGTCGCGGACCCCTTGTTGAAGACCTCCGTAGTTGAGCATTTATTGTTAATGCCATATAAACGGTCAAGGTAGTCAAAATAAAGAAAAAGAGGTGATGAAGGCCAGGGAGGAGCTCTTACATTGCACAGTATCATTAGCTTCATCAATGCATTTATTGATTTACTACTACTCTTAGCTGCTGCCTGCGCATTGCAATTTAGTCCTTAATGTGTATAAGAAAGATGAAATGGCTTCACTTCCACTTTGATAAGCTTTATTTTCTCACACAAATTCCCTTTATCCATCATTACTGGTAAAATGCTATCGGCACAAAATAGGGATTATGTAAACTTTCCCAACAAGAAAATCAGCAATGCACACAAAGAAATCTAATCAAATCAAAAACATAGTCTTCAAAAACAAAATTATCATTTAGATAATGTTTATTTACCGTGATGAACCTGCTGCTTTTTTTAGCTAGTTTCCACCACAAAATGAGTTTATTCTGAACCTCCAGTTGAACTGAGACTCTTTCATTTGGTCTTTAGATGCTGATTTTTTGACCTGGTTTAAAGACATTTTTCACAACTAACAGTTTAATAAATGGGGGCTCCTGCAGATCCGGGGTTTTTATCACACTGACTTTTGAGCTGCTGTAATAAAACTATTAATTCCAGACGATAAGATCGGCTCGGTGAACCTACGGGTGCCTGTGGATTCACAGTGGGTGGTTAAGTGTTTCAGATGAGTCTCAGCTGACACAGAGGGGACTGAACTAAGACATATTCTCCAACAAACGCGAGCTGATCACACAAATGGCAAAAGCCTCGTTTGCATGAAAAACTAAAAGAAATCATTAAACAAAGCAATGTTTCTGTTAGAACCCTAAAACGTCATCACATTTTCTAAGTGGTGAGTCTGATTTAATGAAGCCGTCTTTGGGCCAGTGGACTCTCTGAAGGATCAGCCCACTGCTTCTTACATAAAAAACTGGGCCACCAGGTTGGCGATGCCCAGAACGATGAGGAAACTGTGAAAGGCGGCGGACGGCCAGCTGAGCCTCCTCTGCTGTTTCAGGGAGATCATGTGGACCAAGGCGGGAAACACGAACACCAGGGCCAGCCCACACGTGGCCCCCGAAAACCTGCAAACACACGGAAACCCAACGTCAGGCAGCCCCACACGCTGCGTTTTACGCATGGACAAACAACCAAACCAGTCAGAATAGTTCATTTCACAATGAAAAGTAACAAGAAAAAAAAATGTTGATGCACGTTTGTAGTCATTAATAACATGTTGAACTACAAAATGACTGTTTTCAGTTATGTAGGTCCAGACTGCTGGGGGGCTCCCATGATGCACCTCTCCCCTCTCTATAGGGGAGGGAATCCGTTTTAAACCTACCGTATAATTGATCCGATGTTTGGATAAAACTTGGCCATGAGGACCCCGGCTCCAACGATGAGGATGTTCAGAGTGAAAACGTGTAAGAAACTGAGAAGAGACAAAGTGGAAATTAAATTCTATGCAAATAACATGAAAAATGTTGGATTTCAGAATGTATGTAATGTGTCTTACTATTAAGCTATCCTAGTAAAAATGGATATATAGAGGAGGCTGATACTTTGAAACTAAGAAACAACTTAGAGCTTTTGTTGACTTTACTAAGCACTGTATGCAAACATACACAGGAATTAAGTCTCTAAGCTGCTGGTCAGTCATTCATTTCAGACTCATTTTTCCATCTGACAACAGAAAAATCTGGGAAAGAGCTGGTTTACAAGTTATGTAACCCCTGGTTTCATTAAAGGACTAGATGCTACAATCTCTGGACTTGTTTCCACCACTATCAGGATAACTTAGGGCTTCCTTGGATGGCCCCCAGAAGACGAATATAGTACTTAAAGCTGGTCAAAATATACTTTCAGTCTGAGTTTCAGGCAGGTTAAACCACATTCTGCTGCAGTGCATCCTTTAGAGAACTATCATACTTAGAAAATAGCTTTTTCTGTTACCTGGGGTAATGCTTTCCAAAGATCTGTCCCATGATCTGGACCCGTACCAAGTATCCCAACAGGGGGTAGACGGTGATCATCTGGAAGAGTAAGAAGGTCCGAGCCACAAAGACCATCACGTCGCTGCTGGGGAAGTTATCCAAGAAGTTCTGAAAAACACAGAGCCCCAGTGAGCATTCTGACAGATCCATATGCAAGACGCAAGGTCTGATGCTGATACACAACCCGGACAGGTCAGTGCTAGCATGGGCTACAACTGTACAGATAAGTAACAAATGGGAACAAACTAATAACAAAAAAATGTATACATCAGAAAGAGAAATCAAACAAAAGTAATTCAATAATATGCTGGAATCTGGTGCATCCAAATGTATGTCAATTAATACTGTTTCAATACTACTAATTTCAATACATAACAATAATGATACAACATATCAATGGTTACAATAAAGAAAACAAAAAGGGACCAATGGATTGGGGGGATTGGGGATTTCCATGTTCAAAACTCTCCTCTGCGACCTGTTTTTTCCTTAACAATTCTATCTAAACCACCTTCTTCTGACTAAAAAATCTAAATATAATTCATTTAAAAAGAAAAGAAAACGTGCACATCTTACTGGTTCAATGCAGTCTTTGAAGAGAGGAGGCGAAGGAAAGGCAGCAAAGATCATGACTCCCACATAAAGATAAGTCAGCCCAACGAGAACGTACGCCACAGAGAGGTCCCGGACCTGGAACCGGAAAAAAAGAAAACACTCCAGTCACCATCGGATTTTCTTTCTGCAGGATTTACAGAGTTACTGTTGCTGTTGGGCCTAAACTAGACAAAAGAAAACCCATGTTTTCATTCTAATCCAGAATGGCTCAGGCATCTCTGTCCTCAGTGGACTTTTATTTAAATTTGTTTGTGGAGCTTACATTGTTCTCTTGGTGTTTGTTGCTCTTCATCAGAGTAATAATGCAGTTGTGGATGAAGAAGGCCAGAGTGAGGACGCCAGTCAGCTGTGGAAAGCTCTGCCGAAACTCTGGAAGGAGAGAAGAAGACGGCTCAAAACTCTGCTACTGGAAGAAAAAGCACCAAGAAAATCTAAAAACACAATTATTTCATTTATTTGTCAGCAAAAATGGGAAAGAACTTCTTCCCACTTTTCATTCATGATCAGTTTAAACTATAATAAATAATGGCATCAAGTTTTACTCCGTGAGCCATATTTTTACAAGATATTAATACTAGGACTTTTTATATTTTTACCAAATTTGTAGTTAGAGTAGATTTATAAGCACTGTGGGTTTCTTTTCAAAAACAGTCAATCAACTCACTTAGGACACCACCAAAAAAATATGTGCACTTAAAGGCTCATTGACAGTGGATAGAAACTAAACTGTGGAGTAGTCACAGATTTTGTAGCTGCCATATCGGCTGCTTTTGTTTCTGAACGAGAAATCCACTGTTTTAAAGCCTGTGGGAGCTGATTTGTGAAAGCTGCTGTTGTATCTAATCATGGTGCACTTTTCCCTCATAAAGTGGGACATGAATTCATTAAGCTGGTTTCCCTGCATAATGTAACTATCAGTAACAAAGCTGTGTGATTCCAGGTCTCTCAGTAGATGAATGATAGTACTTTCTATTACAAGCTGTAACCTCAATGGATTTAGGGGTTGAATCAAATTTTATAAATTCAAGAAGTTCAACCAGCTAAAGTGAAATTGGGAAAAAATATTTTCTTTAAAAATGTCTAAAAATGAGAAAAATGAAAGGTGGTACATCCACTTTTCTACATGTAATTTGCTCTGAACCCCATACATAAGATCAAATACTCCGTATTTTCTTCAGAAAGATACCAAATGTGTTAAATATGGTTTAGCTGTGTGATAAGGGCTGGAATTTATCAGTCATGAAAATCCTAAATACTCAAAGAAAACTGCTAACACGACACTAAAGTGGATGAGGGGGACTAATAACTGAATGAACATGAACGGATGGTTTACCTGGAACGTAGAACTGGGAGGCATCAAACCAGTGAAACTCCAGGTGGAACCCAAGGCGGACAGCTTTGATAGTGACCAGCACGATCAGGTAGACTACAGATATGGTGCCTGGATTAGGGACCAGTAGGAAAAAAAGTTATTAACCAGACACAATTAGAAGTTCATCCGTTTGTGTTTGTTCTTACCCAAGAAGGTGAACCTGGCAAAGAAGGAGGCGGAGCGGAAGCTGAGCAGCGGCAGCAGCAGGATGATGAGGTAAAGGGGGATGTAGTTGGTTTTACTCCAGTAGGTCTCAAAGGAGCTGGGGTCAGAGGAGCTGTTCCCAGTGCTGCCGCGGCAGAAGAGGCTGGAGGTGTGGTTCCCCTCAGGGTTGGTGTTGGGATAGGGACAGATCACTGGGGGGCACAGCACCACAGGAGGGTCTTACAGGGAGCACACACCTCTCAACCTGACCCCACATCGGTGGGAATGACGATCTGTTTTCAGCTCTGTGCTGTTTAGTGAGATCAAGGATCTCTTTTTAATAGATGTTTGATCTCACTGACGCTCTCCTGGTTGAATAAAAGCTTAAAGTTATCAGACCACAGCTCCACAAACTCACTCCAGAGTAGTTTGGTGCTGAGAAAAGTTCAAGGTTAACTCCAGGACAGGAAGGTCCTCCTCCACTAGCCTGTCGGCCAACCAGGACACAGTGTTTGAGCCCGCATGCTGTGATTGGTTCTGCACAAACATGTGGCTTTACTTCTCCACTTTGGTCACATCTATTAAATCCACACATGTAGCAGTGCTGTAGTTTTTTTCAGATAACACTTCTGTTTTGTTTTTTGCTTTCATAGAGAGAGAAAATACTCTCCTCAGCTAACCCATATTCCAGTCTTTTTTCTAATTCTACTGTAACTCTCTTTTTCCTGGTTGTTGAGTTCCAACCAGGTCAAGCTGCCATTTCAAAATGCCATCCACACATGGAGCCACATAAATAATGCAAGCAGCTCCATCAGAACTGGACTTAAATACGAGCATGTTTATGCTGAATTATTCATGTTTTAAGTGAAACTCACCTCTATCTGAGCCATTGGTCCCAAAGTCTGAATCTGACACGTTGACATCTAGAGCTTTATCTGCAGCAAGACAAAGAAGAAAAATTCACCAAAAAGCTATTATTTGCATCATGTTTGCACTTTTTCAAACGAGAAATGAACATTCTCCACATATTTGATACATTTAGTCAAGAATGAACATGAGAAGTGAACAAAGAAAGAAAATGCTTAGTAGAACCGGCTAAACTGCCCACAGAGTCTCCACAAAACTGACCCAACAACAACTGGACCAGGCCTGTAAAGGCTACATGTTAGTCCCATTCTTTAAAGAATTTGACACAATTCTTCTAAAGTCTTCTCACAGCCAGCACCGGCTTCCTCTCAGTCCAAAAACATGCATTTTAGGTTCAATTAATGGTAGGAATGAATATGGTGTGGTTTTTTTTTCTATCTCTCTCTGTCTAAAGGGTCTCTCTCCTTTCCTTTCCTCTTCTTTCTTCCCTGTCCCTCAGTCAGGTTGTAAGTTTGGTAACAAAATGAACAAATAAAGCAGTTTTGGGTAATCGAGGGGGGCTTCTCACCAAAAAAAGCCCCCCTGGCAAAGCCAATTTGTTCAGCATAAAACAGTACTCAGATTTCAGTTCTGCTGCCACAACGCTGAACAGGACGAGGTACAGAAATAAATGAATTTAAAAAATGTTTGAAAAGGGATGAATGTGTGTCTGTGTACTGTGTTTCCTCTGTTACCCAAACCTGGTGGGCAGTTTACTGCCTAAAACTGCACCTGGTTCTCATACAGAGTTCCTGTTTGAACGCCAGAGGGAGATAGTTCACTGTCAGCAAACAAAAATCTCATTTTTCAAGGAACTGTGTCTTGACAGTTTCTCTGAATGAATTCTGTTGTTGCATTAGTGTTACATGCACAATATTGAGTGTTTACAGCAGCATGTTAATGTCACTGTTCCCGGTAGCTTACTGTAGATGAACTGCCCGGCATTGTAGAGGAAGTTGGACATGAGGACCCAGTAGACCACCATGGCTCCAATGAGAGACACCATGGAGAAGAACAGACTGGACCACTGACCAACCTTCCCGAAATAGTGCCTACAAACATCAGGGAATTCCCAGTCGGATGTGTTCTCACCACCTAGTCACAGAGGAAATGAAAGCAATAAATATCTGCTTCTCGGATAAAAAGAAAAAAAACATTGGTGACAATTAGGCCCCATTTTTTGATAAGTAATACAATTTTAGGTTGTTTTATGACCTGATATTAACCATCTGAGGACAAGATGGCAAACGTACTTATATTCTTTGGTGATTTAAGGACGATGTAACAACAGTAAAGCATGAGCAGGCCAGTGAAGATGAGGATGAAGATCCCCAGAGTGAAACCTGCCTGGAGACATGGAGCGGGAAAAAATGCTTACAGACACGAGCTTCAACTTTTCTGTCAAGAAGAAACTGAGGTTCCACCATTAAGAGATGACAAAGAAGTGAAATCACCTGCTTGATGCCCCACGGTATGCTGAGTATGGATGTGCCCATCATTGTGTTCCATATAGCAAAGCTGCAATGAGACCAGAGCGGTTTGATGAAGGAGAGGCTATCCGTTAGCATGTCTGACGGCACACTGGCGGGGCTTACATGGTGATGATGCTGGGGTTTTTGGGGGCAGCCTCACCGTCTGACACCTTAAAAGCTGTGCCCAGGGGACTGTAGACGTAGAGCTTCTCTGGCTGGGGGATGACGTGGTTGGGAGGACTCTGAAGGAGAAACAAAGCAGTCGGTACTAAAGATGCTAATCTCCAGTGACATTACGTTTCAGTCATTTTTCCTCAAAAAACAAAGTGTGTGTGACACTGCGTTGCCCATCGATGCATTTGTGTAATGTAAAAGAGCTCTGAGTGCTCAACTTGGCAAGAAAAGCCTCGTTTCAGCTCTTCACTTTTTTTCATTTAGACCCCATTTTCTGCTAAGTAATACAATTTTATGATTTTTTTATTGATGGGGATATATTAGGACCTGATATTAACCATCTGATTTAGCATTTTATCTGTATTATCAACCCTTAAAATGTAAAGAGTGGACCTTCTTCAGCTCTAAACATTGTGCATTTCTATTCCCTCCCTCCATGCTAACAGCACTAAATGTCTGGACGGCTTCCACCCACCAGCAGTCGGTCAGAGGAGCCGGTCAGCCTGCCGTAGTAATGCACTCTGCTGTTGAGGATGGCCGCCTCAGCAGAGATCCTCTCCTCTCCATCATCCACAATGTTCCTGGGCTCCACGTGGAAGGGCCTGCAAGTACCCACATGACACACATCCACCTTCCATCGTATGATTCCCAGAACCAGCTTAATGCTACACACTGTGTGCAGTACATCACATGAGCTCATGGCTAACTGGAGAAAGACATCAAGATTAGGACGAAATAAGGTAACTGAAGTCCAGTAAACTGGTTCCCATCCAAGGGGCTGATGAATCTGGAGTAGGTGAGCTGAGCTCCGTGTGGGCAGGATGCTAATCAACAACCCGCCACGTGTTTTACTGGGAATTTCCATCCAAATCTAAAAGCAGACACACGTGTATGTGGCCGGCTGAAGGAGGCATCTCCACTTTTAATGTCCCAGGAAGCTCCCGGCTCAGTGTGAAATACCTAACTGAATTAAAATTCACACAGCTGTTAGCACAGAGTGGGGCCATGACAGGCTGGTGCCAAAGGCATCCTCACGTCTCAGCATCCTACATCAGGACACTTCCAGAAAGACAAAGGCATCACAAGCTCCATCATCCAGACACAGAAACAGGGAGGGCTCCACACACAGCCCAGCTCTTTGTTTTTCATCATTCCAGTCGTCTGAGTCCTTTCCCTCCTTTAGAAGTTGTCTTTTAACCGGTGAATTCCACATATCTTTGTCATTATAATTATGCATAGGGAAATAAACACTGGCAGGATAAAGAGGGAAACCACTGAGGCTAAAGTACTGTTTTGTCTCCAAGTTTTTGTTGTTTTAAGGAAACAGGCTTTTTCTAAAACATGAAAGTATTCCCAGAACCCACTTCAACATTTTGCCAGCTAGTAATTAGCTTTGAGCTCAGGTCAGCACAAGCCTTTTACTGACACCAAACAGCCCCAATAAAAAAGAGAAAGCGGGAGTTTCTCCTGCCGGTCAGCAGGCAGCCCGCCACCAGCTCACACTTATGTAACATTCAGGTATTCACCAGGGACGGGGAAGAATGAAGGCATTTAGGGAACAATTTCCAAAAATCGGTGGTGATCAGGAGTCTGTTGGAGTTGGACTGGTTAAGTTGAGTCACTAAACTTTCTCCTTAAGACTTTCAGATGTTTGTGTTAGAAACACGCCTGGGAAGAAGAGGGGGGAACACTGTGGGCTCCCTCACCGGTGAGGGGGTGTGTGTCAGACCACTATCCAACTAAACCCGGCATGTAGTAGGAAACAACAAGGTAGGATTATGGGTTTCACTGACACAGAAGCAAATAGGCTCCAAAGTCTGATGGGTTTAGAGTTATGAAAACCAGCAGAAATTTAGAGCAGCAGCAGAAGCCGGGCGCTGGTATCCCCTGCTATCCCCCGCTAGCCCCTAGTATCCCCTACTATACCCTGCTATCCCCTGCTATCCCCTGGTATCCCTTAGTATCCCCTGCTATCCCCTAGTATCCCCCTCTATCCCTGACGGGGGTCAGCTTTGGAGTCCACAGGGCAGAGTGGGATCAATGGGAGCTATCAGAGCTGGAAGTGAGCGTGGGGCTGATTGCATCAGCTGCTGTGAGTGGAGGGGTTCACACAGGAAAAGCTGCTGGACGCAAGAAAGAAAGCCTTCAGCGGGGAATTTAGGGCTGAATTAGAAGATTAAAGTGCTCAGAAGAGGTGAACGAGGATCAGACCGGGCAGAGCCAACAAGCTGAAGGGGTTTCAATAAATTCTGCTCCCTCCTGACCTTTCAAACCTCCAGAGCCTCAGTAACAGATCTGAACTAAGCCTGATGAACACCTCCCACTGGGAGAGACCTGCTGTTGGGATTTGGGGCTGTAGAAATAAAATTGAATTTAATCTCAAGCTGGAGTCTGAAGGCATGATCCTGAGGAGACCACCTCCCACCCCCCTTCCATTGGACCAAAGCCCTAGTCTCCACAGCTCACAGAGAGACGAAGCCTTCAGGATCCGGAGGCGTGTACCTTTTGGGTTTGGGGTCCAGCGAGTCCAGGGAGCCCCTGTGAGTGTAGCTGTCTGCCGGCTGACCCCCGGCCAGCAGCGGCCTGCAGTCGTCCTCCATGATCCTCCCCAGCCTTCAGACGCAGCCTCTCAACTCATCACCGCCTGGGGGGGAACAGAGGGACACCTGAAACAGCCACGTTAAGCACACCCACATTCAGGGGTCCCGTCTGGGGGGGGGCAACAAAGTGAGGGCCGGCTGCCAGACAGAGGACAGAGCTTTTTGACTTTGGTAGAGATGAGACGGACGGCTGTCACATGACCACATGGGGGGGGTCTTCAGGTCAGGCCCCTCCACCCATCCGCCCCCTCTGCCACTGACCGGCCGCCCGCTGACCGGCCCTGTGCTGCTCCGCGTGACCTCACGCTGCTGGGGCGGTTAACGAGTGTTTACAGACCTCCAGTTCAAAGTTTACGGCTGATTCAGCAGCCAGAGCTATTCTCCCCCCCCCCCACCCCCCCGCTAACTCGTAAGACACGGGCTGGAGGTCCAGCTAAAAGTAGAAGGAAACAACATATCTGGACGGGCAGCTTTCCACAGAGCAGGTTTTAGACCCCTCCAGGGCCAGAGAACAGCTCTGATCGTGAACCAAACAGAGCCTTTTTCCTCATAAGGCCTCATAAAGTGGTGCTGAAACGTAGACCAGCCAGTCCTAAGAGCCACTGGTCTTCTTAAAGACATGGAAGGCTCCTTAAGTTCTGTCCTTACAAACAAACTGAAGAATCCCCAAAGAGGAGAGAGACTTCCACTGGTGGGGATTCCTGGGTTTGAGCTCTTATTGTCAGCAGGTTTTGTATCTGTTTAGAAAAACAGGCCACATGTGGAAGCATCTCGGATAACTGCTGAACCCCTGAGGGGCCGAGAGGTCTGGCATGGCCTGTGAACACACCGCGAACCCTAAGGTGGTCAACAGAGCTCCATCCAGTGTCCTACGGTCCTTAAAGCAGACAGGAAATAGCTGCAGGCAGACCAGAGCAAACCTGAACAGCCTGTTTTCCACACTGAAATCACGGCTGAGCAAAAAGAAAAAGTATGATGTGAACTGCAGTGACCTTCTGGGGGGGGGGTGAAGAGCTGGTAGTGGGTGAGGAAGGAGGATCCCAGCAAAGAGAAAACCACCAGCAGTCACATGGCTGAAGACAACCGCAGGATTTGTGCTGAAATCAGGTGAAATCAGGCCAGCCTTTCTGCTCCTGCCCAGACCCACAGTTACACTTCTGTTTCTCTGAGGGGAAACATTCAGACCTCCCAACAGATCCCAGCAAACCAGTAAACCAGCACACGAGAGTATTCTTTACAACAACACTAACAAAGTGGATTAGACTCTAATAACAAATCCAGAATATTACAGGTGACCGAATTAAAACTCTCCTGTATTTAGTATTTCCCTCACTTCCTCCGGAGGTTGTTGTTCCTTCATTCATCCAGAGCCAGTGGTCAGGGCCGGTGGTCAGAGCTTTTTTCGGCTCTGTCACAAACAAAGGCACGTGACGCCGGCTGCACCTGGGCCAGACGTCCCGTTCTGCTCCAGCGCGAGCCGGACCCTGAACGCATCACCAGGTGTGCCCGCGGTCCAAACGCATCTACGGGGACTGACCATCACACAGCTGGCAACATCTGGCTGAAGGCCGGGCCGCAGACAGCTGCTGAGGGTCCGAGACCCGGAACTACCGCGCAGCTGGTCAAAGCTAGCCCGCCTAAAGCGGTCCGAGAGCCGCGGGGGGAGCCGTAAAACGCTGCTACTGACCTGAGAGCCGCGGGGGGAGCCGTAAAACGCTGCTACTGACCTGAGAGCCGCGGGGGGAAGTGAAACGGCTGACTGGGAGCTTCTGGTGTCCAGAGGAGACGCGTCCACTTTGTTTTCGCAAATGAAACTCCGGTATTACTGCTGCGTTCGCGGCGCTCCGTAACTCGGAACCTCCTAGTTTCTATCTCCACAAATCAGGGACGGAGCGTAAAAACATGACAGCTGAGACTTCTGAGAGGTGATCCGGTCCCAGACCTGTACCTTAAACCAATCCCCGGGAGGCACCGGCACAGCTTACTTTAGCACAACGAAGACGACCGATGGACGTTCCTGTGTCGATTCCTACTGGTGGGAAACCCTGAATGCAGCAGGACTCTTTTCTTCTCCTTTCTCAGGCTGACGCGTCACCGGCCTTCCGGCGCACCGGCGCCCCCCGGCGGTAGAGGCCGGAACTCCGGCCCCTTCGGCTTGTTTTGGCGTGGAGACAGCTCTCTCTCTTTTTTTTTTTTTTTTTAATGTTTTATCCTGGTTTTCTGTGACTGCCTTTTGCATTAGGACACAAAGAGGAAAACAGATCAGGTTTTACCCGGTTTAAAAACAGCTACATGCTCTGATGATCAGCACGTCTCATAATGTCTGCATTTAAACTAATTCCCAGCTAAAATGTCCACCCAGCCCTGCTCCTGGGTCCTGGGGTGGGGGGGGGGCTCCGTGGTGGTGATGCTGCCTCTGAAAACGAGCTGCTGGCCACAGACTCGTCTGCAGAGTGTAGCTGGAGCTCTGGGTGCAGCTGGTTGTGTAGTGTGGCATCTGTTGTTGTCTTTCTGTGTTTACCTGAGTGTGGCCTGGCTCTACAGATTGGGTTTACACCTGTTCCACCTCAGGTCCACTGGCAGAGACCGGCACTGGCTTGTGTTTAAAAGCCAACAAAGGCACCAAACCAACAACTTATTTTCAGGTCACGGAGCACAATCCTGTTTTTATGTGTGACTGTGTCAATAGTCTGTGAGATTACAATCCCCTGACTGTGATGAGTGTGTGTGTTAGGCCTGGAATCAGGAGTTTAATTCATCTACTTCCTGAACATTACAAGCTAAGACACATGTGGAACCTTCCATACATGCGTGCACAGCTGAGCATAACTATGTTACAAAAAGAAGAGAATTAAATAAGTCAACTAAATAAACCCCCTTCCCATCCAAACATTCTACAAAATGACTATGATAAATAGGAAACCAATTTTACTATATACTGAAAAAATGAGAGAAGAGAAACTGTGTTAGATCAGTTGGATCATTTCAAAGAGATTACAGTTTTCTATTTATGCATCATCTTCCTATCTGAATGTTTTCTTCCCATCAGATCATCTCTCCGTTTGGCTTCTGAAGATACTTGCTTAGTAATATTTATAGGGTAAATTGCCACTGCAGGATTAAACTGATCTAGGCTGTGACTTACTTGAGAGAAAGGTGTTAGCAAAATTTATTGAATTTGCATTTCAGAAACACTGCATTACAGATTGAGTTGGAAATTTCCAACTGACAGACTGCAATCGGCTCCATGTGTTCCAGGAATGTCACTCAGGAAAAACAGGACATGGGAAACACCTCGGCTTTCTTAGTGAAAATGCTACCTCCAAATAAACATACACTACACAAACAGGGTGAGAAAGAAACAGGTGTTTGCAGAGGTCACCGACATGCTGCCAGACCTCTCCGCTGGAATCCAGAGCTGAAGTATTAAGTGGACTTAGTCTTTCACAAAGAGAAAGTTTGATTTTTTTTTTTACTTCTGACATCTTTGGGAAACAGCACTAGTTGAGAACAGCAGTAGGACATTTTCTTCTTTTTTTTTCTACCTTTAATAGATCCTCTTTGCATGCATTCAGTTGGGGTCCATGAAAGCACCTTTATTACATAGCACCATTTTTCATAGTTATCTTATTATACTGGCACCCAGTCGTTAGCATGCATACACTCTAAACACTTTGTGTTCTTGGTTACCATTTCCAAATGTAGCATCGCTTCAAATGTTACAAGGCAAGTCATTAATATTCATACAGTACTTTACATGTAGAATATGAACAGAATACAGTACACATTAAAGAAAGTGCCAGAGAACAGCATGTCCTTGTTTCATAAGTCTTAGTTTACATGAATATAGAACACACCAGAGTAACATATGTATCTAAATTTACATCTTTGCACATTTTCATGACTCACTTCAGTTCATTTTAATAAGAAAACCGAACATCTATTACAGTGCAAAGTCTAAAACTGAAAGCAGAACACAACAGAACAACCAGGATGTCTTCTTCAGTACGCCTACATTCACATCACTCTACCGGCACAAGCACACGTGGACACACTTTGTGAGACTGACTTCCACCGTTTGAGAAACTACGTCTAAAAATAAAAGCCTGGACGCCTCGATGCAATTCAAATTAGTAACAGAAGTCCTATTAGAGCTAGTTTTCTTTTGCCTTTGGCTATTTTAATACACTTTCATCTAGGAAAACAAAGCACCAGAATCTAAATGAGCAGACGGACTGTGACGGAGCTGTAAGGCATCAGGACTGGATGGAGAACCTTCGGGGGTCCGGGCCTCATGGTACCAAACGAGCTGTGAGTTCAGATTCCTGCAGCCCTCCACTTACTGCTACTACCAACAAACACAACACCATTCCATAGATGGATTTTTCACTATTTGATACAACTAAAAATTGGACTTCTTGAAAAAAATGAAATATGACAAAGCCTTAATCTTTTGATCTGTTTCCAGAGATCCACCGCTCAGAACCGGCTGTCCTCAGTTCCCTTTATACGAAAGACCAACGCCTGTCGTTAGAATATGGCAGAATTTGACCTCTTCTCATGATCTGCTGTCTACAGGGGTCTGCAGGGGCCTGAAAGAGTCTACAGGGGTATGCAAGAGTCTGTAGGGGTCTACAGGGGTCTGTAGGGGTCTATATGGCTCTGCAGACTCCTACATGTGCACCGCACACCTCAGTTCAGCCTCCAGTCACATCAATAGGCTTTTCTTAACAGCCAAGTTCTGAAAGGATCTGGACAGCTTCCAGGCAGAGTGTAATAATCAATGTGACTTAAAATACTTCTTCTAAAATAAAACCTAAAATGAGCATGCTGAGAATGTCGTTCAGTCTCTCAGGAGATAACAAAGCTTTGCACATCCCATGAAATAAAGGGCTGGTCTTTTGGGTCTTTTCAATTTCTAACATTTTAACCTTTAAAAGGGTGGATCTGTTTAGTGACCGGATCCCTAAAAGCTTTAAATATACTCATGACCATCTCCGGTGTATCTGCCTAGCTTATTAGGACTTTTTCTTCCATGTTACGATTAGGTTTCACTCCTCTTCTAAAAGAAAATGGCAGCCGTCCTGTTGACTGTGAAGTCACAGGGACATTGGCGAACTGTGAAGTGGAGATGATCCGATTCTGGGAACTCTGATTCTGGATTGTCGCCTTAGAAGTGAAGCGTTGATGGAAATGCTGCCTCAAAACCAAGAGCTCCAACAAAAGTGCAGCTTCTGTTTAAAGTGCTTTTCTCATGATACCATAAACACTGATGACTGTCACATCTTTACAGGTTCACCACTTCACTCACTATATTACAGATACCTACTCTTTTTGTATTAATATCTCTGATAAGACAATAGTTAGTTTGAAAGATCTTATCTTCTAAAGTCCAAATCACTGGAGGTCTTTGTTAAACCAGTTTCATGTCAAGAATAAAATCCCATGTCATATATTAAAATAAGTTGTGCTTTGAGTTATACATATGACTTATATCATTTGTAATCAAATTAAAACAAGCCACTGTTTATATGACCAACCTTTGCCGGACTGTACAAAACTAGGGCACACACAACTAGACCCAAACGTTTCATGCACAACACTGATCGACAGGAACACTGAGACTGGTGGATTGTGCACGGCCGAGGTGCCTCTGGTCTCAGTGTGTGGAGGAAGGTCTCCCAGCCAGGGACCCAGCAGACCCTTTCCACTGAGGACGGCCCCCTCCCACCACACGTCTCAGTCAGACTGGACTGGGAGAGGCCGCCTCTCCTTCTGAAGGACTTTCTGGTCCCTCTGAAGGACCTTCTGGTCCTTCTGGTCCCACTGAAGGACCTTCTGGTCCCTCTGAAGGACCTTCTGGTCCCTCTGAAGGACCTTCTTGTCCTTCTGGTCCCTTTGAAGGACCTTCTGGTCCCTCTGAAGGACCTTCTGGTCCCTCTGAAGGACCTTCTTGTCCTTCTGGTCCCTCTGAAGGACCTTCTGGTCCCACTGAAGGACCTTCTGGTCCCTCTGAAGGACCTTCTTGTCCTTCTGGTCCCTCTGAAGGACCTTCTGGTCCCTTTGAAGGACCTTCTGGTTCCACTGAAGGACCTTCTGGTCCCTCTGAAGGACCTTCTGGTCCCACTGAAGGATCTTCTGGTCCCTCTGAAGGACCTTCTTGTCCTTCTGTTCCCTCTGAAGGACCTTCTGTCCCCTCTGAAAGACCTTCTCGTCCTTCTGAAGGACCTTCTGGTGGAAAGCTGCTGCTTCCCTTCACAGCTAAACCTGTGCTTATTCACTGTGACAATCCAAAAAGCCTGCCGGGGAAAAGGTTGACTGAGCAACAGTAACCCCAACCAACAGATATCTACATAAGAATATACAGCTATGCCCGTCACAAGACAGCCAGATAACCACCTCCATCATCTACCAACTCATCTGCCATCACATGAGGCTCAATAAGCCTTTACACAAAGACCCAGAGTACGGGTCCACTGGTGACCAGAGGGGTGTTTTCTATCCATGGGATACGAAGCAGTGTCCTCACAAAAATTAAAATAAATACCTACTGTTAAAGGCAGTCTTCAAAATGCCACATCAGGGATTTTTCTTCTCCTGGACAGCAGCTGGCCCCATAGAACATCAACGGAGGATACGACCTCTCTGAGCTCCTTCTGTTTCTCACCAGTACTTTTTTTTGAGTTAGCTAAGCTTTGGAGGCAGGAACTCCACTTTGATTGACCTCTGAAAACCATGAGTCAGGTCTCAGAGAGGAAACTAACGAGAAGAGCACGATTATGGGCGGCTGACAGCTCGTCTTCATCATCCAACCCGACTGTCAGAGTTTAGGCTTGGCCATTTCACACTCTAACCATTTACTGTGGAATAAAGTGACCAATGTCAGCCAGGTCTGTCCAAATATTCATACAAAAATAACACGCTTTGCTTTTATACTTTTGCTTTCTAAGCTTTTCCTCCATTTGGATGTAAACAGGCTTAAAACTACTCTGACCAGAGAAACCAATATTCATTCATTCCAGAGCAAAGTCAAAGAACAGAGGAGGGCTCAGAAAGAGACCAGTCAGTTGTCACAGAGAAGATCTGATCAGTAAACTTCAGAGGTTCCTTTTCATTCTGCAGAGCTGATCTAATCTAAACTTTACGAACACTAACGTGACCGTGAGGAGTCAGAAGGCAGCCGGTGTTGAATAGAAGTAGAACTGTGCAACAGTTTTCCAGCCATAGCTCAGATTTCCTTCCATTACCAGAACCTCTCTGAGTGTCTTTAAATGTTTCGGTTTTCTTTGTGTGGATATTTGCTGTTTTGGAAAAACGTCCTCCCATCCTCCTACCTGATCCCTGTGGACCAAAAGCATTGGTCCTGATGGACCGGGGTCAGAAGACTTAACAAAAACGGCTCTAAACTGGGTGTCCAGCCCTCTGCCACGAGCAGCCCCACACAAAAAAACAAAGACAAACCTCATTTGACCGACAAATGTTCCAAACGACGGACCGCCATTCGTTGAAGTGGCCAACAGAAAAGCAAACTGACCTCAGAACCAGCAGCTTGCCC